GACCCCGATATTGCCTCCGGTACTGCTGGTGCTGCCGGTACTGCCCCGGTGCCTCCGCTGGCCCTGCTGCCCTCCCGCTGCTGCTGGTGTAGCCCTGCCTGTACCTCCCTGCCTGCCCTGCCCTGCGCACATGTGTGCACACACGCACAAACACATGTTCACGGGCACACAGACACACACGTGCACCACGGCCCGGCATGCCGGGGTGGAGGATGCTGAACACGGACTTGCCAAGCTGAGCTGGGGTCCCTGCCGGAGCACAAGGGCTACAGGCAGGGGTGGGCACAGGCACCGTCACAGCCCACAGAGAGGAAGGAACAGGACATTTAGGGACATTCAGTACCTGGGAATCTGGGCAGTATCAGCCTCACCCGCACAGCCAGGTTCTCCCTGTCCTGTTAGTGGGGGAACTGAGGAATGGGGCAACCCAACCCTGGGCATGCCACACCCCTAAACTGCCAGCTTCCATATGGGCACCAGAGCCGGACACCCTGGTGTGGGGCACCACCCCAAAGGGGGGAGAACATCTGGTGAAGGACACCGGGGGGAGGTGGCTGGGAGGCACATAAGGTGCTGGGGGTGGTTCCTGGAGACCCCCAGGGATCAGGTCTCGGCACCTGCAGTTGCTCTGAAAAGCCAAGCCCAGGCCCCACGAGCAGCTGGTGACACAGGCAGACGATGGTGACACAGGGGATCCACAGCAGCCTCCTGGGGAGCAGGGGCCTGTCCGGCTGGGCAGCTCCACACAGTGTGCTGCACCGGGGAAAAGAGGCAGCTGCATGAAGGATGGGTGAAGGACAGACCCATCCTGGCTGACCTGGCACTCACAAGTGTGAAGGCTGGGAAATGCTTGATCCTGACAGGAGAGCCACCAAGTCAGTGGAGGATAACTTTCCAACATGAAACAAAAATAACAATCATTTTGTACCTTTGATGAGAAGGCGTTAAACGTGCCACACAGGAGGGAGGCTCACACAGGCTGCCTGAGGACCTGGGTCTCAGGCTCTCCACTAAGTGGGTGTTTTGAGTAAACAAACACAGGCACATTGCCTGTTGAAATGTCAGAACCAATCTGATCACACACTGGAGCAAATTCCTTGGCATTTATGGCTAATCTGCTAATTAGTCAAGAAAAGCAGTCTCCTCCTTAGACGTAAGGGAGCAGCAGCTGGGAAGAGCACCAGGTAAACCAGATTAACTCTGCCCCATCCCCAGGCTTCACCTGATCTGGAACAGCGGACAGGTCAACAGTTTCCCTGCCTACCTCCAGGCCCAGGGACAATGGCGGGGCAGGAAGCAGTGAGACCACCAGGAGAAGTGGAGGAGGAGGAGGCACGTAAACCCAGCATTGTCCTGGCCATGCCGGGTGCTCAGCCTGTGACAAAGCTCATGTGGACACAACGAAGGCAGGGTTGCACCACATCTCTCCTGACCCCTGATTTAGGCAAAATCTCTTCTTTAAACACTTGTGTTTGATGCCCATTGACTGACAATGCAAAACATTGGGTCCAGCTGGAGCTCATGACACAGGCAGGACAGGCACGTGTGAGCAGGGGCTGTTCCAGTGAGAGCTCAGCCTGTCACAAGGAACAGCACTTCCCTCCTGCCCAGAGTTACTTACCAGAGCTGCTCCAGAAGGGAAACTATTGCCTAAAAAAAGGTGATCCATCCTTTGCCTCGCTCAGCAGAGTTTGGAATAAGTCTTTTTGAGACTGCAGTTCTGGCCAGCTTAAAAGAGCAAAAAAAGTATTAGCAAAAAGTTTCCCAGAAAAAACCCACAGCGCTGACCTTTTTTTGGATATTAAAGGAAATTAATATTTGCATATTAAGCTACTCCCCTCAGATCAGGGTCCATTTGCAGTCACAAGAGGAACAAACACCAAGCAGCTGGAAGAGCAGCTGCAGCCACAGCCCCACCACCAATGCTCACAGGGTGACCTCCAGTGGGACAAGGTAGACATGACAAATTTCCAAGTTGCGAGAAGAGAAACTTTATTTTGAACCCAACTTTGTGCATTATGAAGGAGCAGTAAGGGGAAAGAACAGTATCCTTTGGAGCTTCCCATGACTACCACCCCAGGGCAGTGGTACAGCCACAGGATTTCAGGCTGGTTATGGCACAAGTAGAGTGCTGTCACACTGGCAGAGAGAAGAGCAACCACCGGCTCCACAGAGCCAAAGTGGGATGGGAAGGGAGCTCCGTGCACACAATGGCAGATGGACCTGTACCCTCACAGTCGTACATTCAACCCCCCAAAAGGCTCAGCAGACAGACTCTGAAGCACACAAGCAGCCAGCTCAGCCCTGTGTCCCACTGTCTGTCCACTCACAGCCCTGGGGATGCCAGGGAATTAATTCCATGTCAGGTCCCATCTGCCCTTTGTACCTGCCACACAGGCACGTATGTGTCCGTCCCACAGCCTGGGCTGCTGCACCCTCTGGCAGCTGAAATCTGGCCGGGTGAGCAGCCCCTCTGCCGGGGCTCACTGACAGGACACCAACAGTCCTTGCTCATGCAGAGGTGACTCCCGTCTTCCCCGACCCACTATGAAGCACGGCCTGGCAGCCTTTGGCAAGGGAACTCTTCAAAACACAGTTTTAGACAGCCACAATCACAGGCAGTTACAGGAGTCCTGCCCTCCCCTGACGTGTCAGCAGCAGCTCCCCAGCCCCAGCACGCGGCTGGTTCCTGCAGCCACCCCGGACCACGCGGTGCCGGTGCCTTGGGGCTCCCGCTCAGGGCTCCCCTGGCGCTGCCCCTGCGGAGCGCGGGTGCTTCCCTGTGCTCCCAACGCCCCGACCCCCGCCTTGCTTTCTCTTCATCTGGCCCTGGGACTCTGCTTTGAGTGTCTCAGTCCAGAAGGCATCAAAGGATCCTGGAGCCTGGTATCCCGGCTCCTGAGGGTCCAGGGGGTCTTTGCTGAGCAGGACACATATCGCAGGAATGTTCCTCTTCACTGTCAAGGCATCGAGGCCTGCCTCAGGCACGATAGGTTCCCACATCTCCTCGATTTGCCTGAAGAGCACCTTGGTGATCTGGTGCAGCTCCTTGAGCCGTCGTTTCATAATTTCCACACAGGTGATGGTCTTGCTGACAGCCTTGCCTGAGCCAGTGAAGAGAATCTGCCTCACAGACTCCTGCTCCATCTTGCTCATGGCATAGCCCATCAGATTCCTGATCTTGCTCCCGTCCTTCACCTTCATCTCAATGATATCAGCGGGCAGGTCAGTGAAAGGAAGAGGACAAGGTTTCTCCACGATTTTGGTCTTCTTATAGTTCTCCATTCTGCAGTGCTGAAAGGGAAAACAGACCCGTGAAACACAAACTCCCACTGTAACTGCTGCACAAAGAAATTATCACCAAAATTAGCTATGACCTCTCCTCTGAAGGGCACTCTCAGCTGTCAGAGATGGGGATCCTGGAGAACCATATCCAAAAGATATATCCTTATAAGGTTGTACCTCCAACATGAACACACATAGGGCAGCCTGAGCCCCAGCAGGCAGGTGGTGAAAGGAACAGGCTGTTGGCCTGAACAGGACAAGTAACAAACACAGGCTGCATCTCAGACAGAACAAACGAGTGAGCTGCGGTTCCTGGGAACAGAAGCCAGGGGGATGCTTCCACAGCTGCACCCCGTGGGCACAGCCCAACTGCAGCACCTCGTGTGTTTCAAAGACACGGGTCGTGGGGCTCTGGCAGTGCAGGTGAAGGCAAAACAGTGCGTGTCCCAGAAGAGAGAGCAAGCCAGGGGCTGCAGGAACAAACAGAAGTTTCCTCGAAGGAAAGTGAAAGATAGACCCTCTCTGCCAAGGCGGGTCCCATCCTTACTCAGGTCTCCCTGCCCTGTGCAGGGCGCTCCGCCCCCCCCTCCCCCCACTGCTCGAGGCATTCAAGCACGCAGCACTTTGTTACCGGTGGGCTCCTGAGCCCCGTTCCACCCACACCTGCAGGGACAAGGCAGCCCAAGGCCCGCGCTCCGGACCACGGGAGCACACGAGGCCCTCACCCCCGGCACGGCCGCATGGGAGCCCGAGAGGCCGGGATGCCGCGCTGGGATGCGGGGATGTCCCTGTGGGATGCGGGGATGAACCCCGTGGAACGGGGGATGTCCGTGCGGGATGGAGGATGTCCGTGCGGGATGGAGGATGTCCCCGTGGGACAGGAGATGTCGCTGACCCCGCTCACCTGCGGCCACCTCAGCACGCCCCTCGCCTCAAGATGGCGGCCGGCGGTGCGCGCGCAGGCGCGGGGCGTGTGCGCGGGGCTCATATAAAGATCACGTGAGTAGTGGGCGGGGCCACACACGACCCCGCCCACAGCCCGGGATGTGGAGCGGCTCCCGGAGCACCTCTGGCTTTCCTGGGACAGCTCCAGCTTTTTTCCTGGGCAGCTCCGGCTCTCCCGGGCACCAGGCGAAGTCGGTGTCCCCGTGTGCGCCCATGCAGTCCCACCGTGGTGTGCCCACGGGTGAGCTCGCTGACCAGGGAGAGTACAGGGGCAGGAAGGCTCCTCCTGACTTCCCCGCGGGGATCCTGCCCCATTCCTGCAGGACTCCCAGGTCACACGCAGCTGAGCAGTGTCTCTCTAAGCTGAAGGGAACTCGGAGACTCCGAGTTGTGGCCAGACCAGTCAAGGCACAGCTCGTGCCCCTCACTGAAACAGGTTCTGGCTTGCAGCAGCCACTTGGGAAAGCAGGGGCAGGGTAAAGGCAAAAGCTGCTGCCTCCTCTCAGCACAGGGATGGGAGAATGGCTTGGGGGAGAAGCTCCATGAGGCCAGATGGCCCTGGGCACAAGCAGCTCCCAGGAAGAGCTCCTGTTTTTGTGCCACAGTTTATGGAAGGCTGTGAGAATGAAAGAGATTTACATGCCCTTGGCCCAAAGCTGCCTCCTGCAGCCACCTCCTGCAGACTGCGAGGAGATCACTGCCTGGGAAAGCCCCCCAGTCCGTGCCAGGAGCAGTCCTTACACTCAGGGAGAGAGACACAACCCAGTCAGCGTTCCAGGACTTTACTACGGACCACAGTAAGAGGGGCAAGGGATTTTTAAATATGTTACAAACCAAGACACATTTCAGGGGAGTGCAAGATTTGCAACAGTGGCAGATTAAGGAGCAGGGCGGCTTCAATTCTGGGCTGACACAGCTCAGAGCACAGCCAGGTGTCCCTGGGAGCCCGTGGTGCCACTCCAGCATGCTCAGGCCAAGCGGGAAGGTGCTGGGGCCAGTGGGATGCAGGCTGTGCCATGGGGCCCCGGGCTCTCCATGTTCCCGGCTCTGCTGTCACTCAGCCACAGGTTTTGCTTGCTTGGCCGCTTCCAGCCGTGTCAGTATTTCATTCCACTGCAGTAACTGCTTGGAGAGAAGCAGGGTCTAGACATTACTTTTAAGGAAAGAAATGTAGAAATCACAAGGAAGAAGCTAAGGGCATAGCACCCTGACAGAACCATTACAATCCCGAATCCCTGGGAGAGGCCCAGGGCTGCTGAAAGCCTACATGGATCCACACCATCCAGGTGTTGTAGGAACAGCACCAAACACAGGAGTCCAGGAGGCACTTCTAAACACCCTGTACCACTGCAATACAAGGGCTGTCTACAGCAAAGAGCAGAGCTTCCCTACCCACTTGTGGTTTTGGGATGTGCCTCGGCACTGGGATCCTATACAGCCAGGATTAGGGGCTGGCTGGCTCAGGCAGGTCACAGGGACAGAGGTGCCCCCACATCAGGAAGGGCACTGGTCGTTAAACCCAGGGCTGGGAACCCAACAGTACCTGACAGGGGAGGGAGCTCTGGGACAGGGTCAGCTCAGCTGTGCCAGGCCTGAGGCTCAAAGGATACCATTTTGTTGTAGCTCTCCAGGAGTGTCTTGACACTGTCAGTGAGATCATGACGCTTCTCCTGCAAAGAGGGGGGGCCACAGTGAGAAACACATAAGCTGAAGGACATCTGTCCTTCCCAGATCCTGAAAGCATGGGGGAGAAACTCATCCAAGGCCAGTACTGAGATTAGAGCTCAGACACCAGCTGTGGCTGCTCACTTCAGCTGGAAAGGTTTCCACAGTGAAGAGGAAGGTCACAAACACCCCTGCTGATAAAGCACCAAAGGCCCTGGGCTTGCACCACTGTTGCCTCGCCTCAGGATCCAGGCTTTGCCTGCCCCAGAGTGGAAACTCGCAGCAATATGCTGAAAGGGGCCATTAGGCACCGCCCAGGCTACTCACTGCCAGCTCCAGGAGTGCTCACACAGGGAAGGAAAGGGTGAAGTAACAGGGCGACAGTAACAACAGCCTTCCAGAGACTAGGACACTGGAAGAGTGCAATGCTTTACCTCAGTGTCCTAGTGAAAGGGAGGAATGACAGATGGTTAAACCTACTATGTGTCACTCAAAGCTCTGTTTTGAGCAGGGTTTTGGTAGGCAAATTTCCAGTGGTTTTCCAACTTGGACTCCATTGCCAGAAATCCTGGCTCCTTTCCCCCCTTGGAGTACTTGAAATTCTTTAAGACTGCAGTATGCATATTCTAGGATTGAAAAAACCTGCTACAATTGACCAATTCAAGCAATTGCAAATACAGGGGTGTCAAGACTCAAGACTCCAGCAAGACATTCCTTCTCCCTTCTAGTCACAACTGATAGGAATATTTACAGTACCTGCTGCTGTATGTGGATCTGTGAGAGTCGCTGCAGTTTGGCTGCATGGTCAGGAACCGCTGAAAGCAGAGGAGAAATCAGTTTTGTTTTTTGCTTTGACAGCACACAGGAAGAGTTCCCAAAACAAAGAGCACTCCCCCTCCACAAGCACAGCACAGCAGAGCTCACTGAATGCCAGTGCCACACACCACAGACATAGCTTTTATAGGATTAAAAAAACCTACCAACTATCTTGTACATTAAACACCAAGTTTATTTGCTCACTGCTCCTGGGTGGCACGAGCTCAGGGGTGCCCACAGCGAAGGCTACTCAAGAACTACACCAGAGTAAAGCACTTGGACAAACATTATGGAAAGCACTTGAAAAGGCACCTGTACCTCTGCCAGGTTAGAGCAACATGAGGGAGGAGCACACACACCACCAAGTTTGTACTTAGTTCACTCTCACATGACCATGTGCTGTCCTCTTCTCCAGTCTCAGGCTCAAATAAAAAAACACCCCAGAAAACAGGACAGGCCACAGCTTGGAGGGTGGCATTTTCAGCTCAAACTTGCAGAAGAACATGCATACCTTGGATACTGGCACTGTCCAAAATGGGCTGGAGGTTCTTCACCTGCTCCAGAAGGGCTGCACGTTCAGGAATAGCCTGTTCCTCTGGGTGGGGGGGGGACAAGACACAAAACCAGTGAACACGAGGTGCTGCTCTGGCTTTTCACAAATAGCTGTAACTTTTCCAGCTGATCTATCTTAACAGAAAGGGGCTTGTTCAAGATTTTATTTAAGATGTCTGTGCTGCTCATCCCTGGGTCTTGATTCACTCCAATTTCAGGCAGGAGAACCTCCGCTGAATTGTAGTGATAGGACCAGGGGTGAAGGATCAAATCAAAAGAGGGGAATGTTACATTAGGTATTAGGAAGAAATTCTTTACTGTGAGGGTGGTGAGACACTGGCACGGGTTGCCCAGGGAGGCTGTGGATGCTCCATTCCTGGCAGTGTTCAAGGCCAGGCTGGACAAGGCCTTGAGCAACCTGGTCTAGTGGGGAGGTGTCCCTGCCCATGGCAGGGGGTTGGTACAAGATGAACTTTAACATCCATTCCAAACCCTTAACATTCTATGATTGCACAGTTCTATGAAGTCCCATTCACAGACAATACTATTACAGGCTGAATCAAATTCCTTGGGACAGAAGAGCACAAGGCTTGGTGGTGTTTAAAACACATCTAAACACCTTCTGTTTTTGTCACTGCCTAGAGAGTACTGGAAGTGGGGCGAGGAAAACCATTCTAGCTCCCGTTTTTCTGATCAGCCTTTGATTCATTCGGGGTCAAACTGAACAATCAGTACTAAAGAGATCAGAGCTGATAAAACTGCAGTGCTGATGTGCACAAGGAAGCGCTGAGGGTGGAGAACATCCCTGTACAAAGCATGTCTCTGATGCTTCCAGAAAGCGTGGGCCACAACTTTACGACTGAAGGAAAGAAATCCACCCTGACCCATCTCAGGCAAAGGACACTTTTTGCAGTGCTACAAAACCCTCTTGTTTCCCCTCCTTTCATGCCATACCTGCCAAGATGAACTGCAACTTCATGGCATCTGGAACAGCCATCCTGTCAATGTACTGAGGGTCAAGGTACTTGATTACATCTTCAACTGGAGTGTTTGGAGACAAGAAGTAGGGGAGATGTTATTGCATACACAAGTGCAACTTTCCCCTGTGCCACCTGTCAGATTGCTTTGTAAACACTGCCTAGGGGCTTCTTTTTTCTTTTCCAATTAATTAATTGCTACTTGGAAATATGTGACTTTAGAGCACTGTGAGCAAGAACTGACAAATGGCTCAAACCCAGAAACCCCTTTGTTAGGGACACCTGCAACACTTGCTTTTTGTTTGGATAACGATACCAAAGGTGAACGAAATCTGCTTCCTTCCACCCTCAGAACAAAACCAGCCCACAACCCTCCATCCTGGTCCTTAAAATCATCAACAAATACACGCTTTACACTTTTACACTGGACAGCCTCGGACCACAAAGACTCTCCTGCTCCTTCTGTGACACCAGACACCAAAACCTGGTCAAGAGGTAGCTCTGCAGGACAAGGCACCCCCTCAGTTTGGAGGCAGCTCCCCAGGTCTGTCCACCAGTGTCTGTGTGTGATCCTGATCGCTCCCACCACACACACGGGGGAATGCTGCTCCAGCGTGGCCGACAAAACCAAGCACCCAGGAATCAATTTCTGGAGCTCCGAAAGCCTTCAGGGGCTGCATTCCAGGCGGAGCAAATCCCGGCACTGACACAGGCCGACGGACATCGAGCGAATGACAGGTCGCGGCGGCCCTTTTCCCAACCCCGACAGCTGAGCCGGAGAACCGCGGGCAGAGAGACCTCCCGCAGTAACTTATTTCTCTGCCAAATACGCAAAATAAGGGCCCAAACATCAACGGGGATCAAACGCGGGGGGGGC